CAGATCTATTTTACCTTTCTCAGAAGTCATGGCGCTCTGTCTCTGGAATCGTTCACCTGAAACTGTCTGTTGTGCTGATCGCTCCTTCCAGCAACACGCCTGGACTTTGTGTCTTCAGGTGTGCCCACTGCCACCTGCTTGGACTGAGGATGACTCATTCCTGAGTCTCAGGCGGTTACTATGTCTGGTCTATGCAGCAGGTGGCAGACTAAGAGGGAAGTTAGCCTGGGGATGTGGGTCTTTAGTGACTAGGCAGCCTATGATGCAAATAACACTCACCCTGTAGAGTAGATCCCTGGGGATGCCAAATTCCAAAGTTCTCTGATGACATCTGAATTTAGCAACCTTTCTCTTTCCTTTAAATTAAGGTTAAGGCAAGATGGACACAGCATTGGTTAATGGCGAGAAGAGAGGAAGAACAAAGTTAAGAGAGAGCTTGTTGTTACAACCTCAAAGTTTTTACGTTATATGGTGGGGACACTGTGGCTTTGGCCTTCAGCTACTACTTATCTATTTCTCACTTCCTCTCACTTTGCTCTTTGCTATAAATCCCAGTTGGAAAGGGGAAGGGCACTGTTAGATGCCAAATCAGAAGGACCTTGGACTCTGAGTCAGGTAACTAGCATACAGGTCTTTGGGGCTCTCTCTCCTCCTTTGAAGCTAAGGTTAAGTGTGTGGACAAGACCACTTCTGCTTTTTTATCCTTCTTGAAAAAGTGAATGCTAAACTTCCCTATGGCCACTGCCCTTTGCGGCCTGAACCCTGGGTGAAATTCAAGCCACACATTCCTCTGAGTCTCAGCCCCTACTCCCGGAATTGAGGCCACTCTCTCAAGACCTAAGTCTCCCTGTGGGGTCTCAAATCTAGAGCTCCTGAACTTTAAATCTCAAGGCCCCATGAACCTTAAACCTGAACCCTAAACATAAGGCTTTATTTAGCTATGAAAGTCAGCCTCCAGCCTCTATGAGACAAAGCAGTTGTTTGGACAATGGCAGATGAGTGTTTTGAAGAAGGGTCAGATATCTCACAACATAAATAAAGGTCCTTCAGAGACCAAGTTTTTTCAAGTTAGCAAGTGTAGAATAATGGTAGAATAAAGGTGGGATATCATCCCTCCAAAATATCCGTGCCCTAACCCCTGGAATCTATAAATATGTTACCTTACGTGGCAAAAGGGCCTTCGCAGACATGATTAAGGATCTTGAGATCGGGAGAGGATCCCGGATCACCAAGGTGTGCCCAATCTAATCACAGGGTCCTTACAAGAGGGAGGTAGTAGAGTCAGAGTCAGGATCAGAGATGGAGGTAGAAAGACGGTAGCGGAGATCTGAGTGACGTGATTGCTAGCTCAAAGGGGGCCATGAGTCAAGGAATGAGGAAAGCCTCTAGAAACTGGAAATGGCAAGGGAACTATCTCCCCTGGAGACTCCAGAAGAAATGCTACCCCGATGACACCTTGATGTTAGCCCAGTGAGACCCATTTTGTACTTCCGACCTCCAGAACTGCAAGATAATTTGTGTTGTTGTATGCAGGGAAATTCCCCAGCCTCCCCAGCCGACAGGGTCGAAGACAGGGCGTCATGCAGGAATAAGAAACGAGGCAATAGAAGAGAAAGAGTGGGGTCTCGGGACTCAAGGCTTTCCAGACCAAGAGTTCTGAGAGTAATTCGTCACTCGTATTTATTCATCCCAAGAACAAAAGATCATTGTAAATCATACAATCAAACATGTTCTAGAGACATCCCACAGTGATCTATAGATCATCCCACAGTGATCTATAGATTTCCATAAAGATTACATATCCTAAAGATATCCCACAAACTTTAAAGTCACATCCGCAGAGGTTCTTGTGCCAGCAATATTCCTAGGTCACCCTAACATTTCTAAGCTACCCCAACAGTTTTATACCATGAATTGTGTGCTAATTTTTTACAGCATCAATAGAAAACTAACACAGTAGGGCATACTCACAGGAAGTACTAAAGGGGATGTACAATTTGGGTTTGTTGTCTACTAAAATTCCTATTGAGTACTTTATCCATCTTCTGTTTTGTTGAAAAGCACTTGGGGCCGGGCGCAGTGACTCACGCCTGTAATCCTAGCACTCTGGGAGGCTGAGGCAGGATGATCACTCAAGGTCAGGAGTTCGAGACCAGCCTGAGCAAGAGTGAGACCCCGTCTCTACTAAAAATAGAAAGAAATTGGCTGGACAAGATCATTAGGGCTCCAGCATGAGTGTGTGTGTGTGTGTGTGTGTGTGTGTGTGTGTGTGTGTAATTACAGGCATAATTATGATAGATTTTCCAGGAAGACAAATAATGAACATAGGTATATTTTCATTTCACATAGGTAGTTTTATTACAGGACTTGCCCTAGGAATATTCCTATTCCTATCTCTGACATCCTACCCACAGCCACATTCATCAACTACCATGTCTTCGTAATGTCGTAGAATGACATTGTCATCATTGTCCTGGTAGAGCATGGAAATGGGGGATAGCTTGGTGGGGATACAGACGGCCTGGGGAACCTCTGGGTCAACTGTGTGCATCAGTGCTTGCATGAAAGCATAATTGGAGCTGTTGAGAGAGGTGGTCAGTGAGAAAGGACAATCTCCATGGCAGTAATTTGCCATGAACCCCTTGGGGGCAATGATCCACTTGTGCCAACCCAGGTCCTGAAAGTTAATGAATAGCTGGTGACGGTGGCAGAGGTTCTTGCAAGAAGCCCTGAGGGCAGGAACGGCTGCCCTCCTTTTTCGGGAGGAAGGCGGGCACTGCTCAGGGTTGAAGGTCACCACAAGCAGGGAAGCATGAAGGGAACGTCTCAGTCTGGCACAGGTATCCTCAAGCTGAAAATCCACCCCAGAGTCTCTGTCTTCTTTGACCAGTATCTCCAGGAATAAACCCAAGTTCTTCCGGGGGTTGTCATTCCAATCCTTAGCTACATCTGGCAGGTTGAAGTAAAGGGCACCTTGAGGCCACGGTACTGACTGCAATGCAAATATTTTACCTGGCGTGGGGGTGGACTGGCCCCACACGTGAGGCTCCTGAACCAGGAACAGGGCCAATTCCAGCTCTGGTCCCAGGTTATAGTAAGAGCGGGGCCCCAGGTCCAGGCCCAGCTGGGCCATTGTTAACTGTTCCTTTTCTTTGATGGCAGACAGGTTAAAGTAGAGGAGCTTTTGTAGACAAGGGGAAGCTTGGGAAAGTTTCTTCGAGTAAAGAAAGAAACCTAGACAGGAACAGAGACACGTGAG